AGTAGAGATAAGGTTTCTCCACGTTGGTCAGGCTGGTCTTGAACTCCTGACCTCAAGTGATCCTCTGGTCTCAGCCTCCCAAAGTGCTGGGATTACAGGCATGAGCCACCGTGCCTGGCATGTCGTTTTCTTCTTTAAGGGTATCTATTATGGTCCAAGACAATGAGCAGTATGCACAGTGTTGAACCAGAGTTAATAAACAAAAGGTAACTGATGTTCACTATCATCTTTTTTAGTAAGCCAAGGAAGTTTGTGATATAGTTTACAAACACTTCTATCAAATATTAAAATGTCTTAAGATGAAAAATAAAGTTTTGACACTCAAGTAAGTTTTACTTAATGATTTATATGGAATATACATAGAAGAAAGGGTCAGAGAGGTCCCTGGAAATGCTGTGTAATGGTTCAGCATCATAGGGGCTGCACAGCCTGGACTGTGAGTAATAATTGTAATAATAGCTATAATTTGGTGAGCATTTACCATGTGCCAGGAATTATGTTAAATCTTTACATGAATTCTAGTATTGAGCCCTTTATCCACCCCTTGAGTAGATACTGTTATGTCTGTTTTAAAGATAAGGAAATTGAGACATGGTGGTTAAAAATTTACCTAACATTGTTCATGTGATTAAGTGGCAGAGCCCAGAATCAAACCGAAGTCTGAGTACCTCCATCCAGGTTTACTATCTCAGTCTGTGTGTTTTATGGGAATGTGGTATGCCCTTTCTGAGAAGGAATGATGTTATTGTACCTCCTTAGGTATTTTCAGTAAGAATGGGTGAGGACCTCATGTGACCCTTTCTCTTCCCTCACCCTGTGGGAGGCGGAATAATGGTCCTAAGATATTCAGGTCCTAATCCAGGATTATCCAGGTGAACCCTAAATGTAATCACAAATGTCATTTTAAGAGGGAGTCAGATTTGATGGCAGAAGAGGAAAAAGACGATGTGACAGCAGAAGTGGGTGTGTTTGGAGCTGGGAAGTGACATGATGTGGGGCCACAAGACAAAGAATGAGGATGGCCTCTAGAAACTGGAAAAAGAAAGGAAATTGATTCTCACCTAGAACCTCCCGAAGAAACCAGCCTGCTATAACCTTGATTTTAGTCCCATAAGACTTATTTTGGACATCTAGCACCCAGAACTGTAAGAGAATAAATTTCTGTTGTGTTAAGCTACCAAATTGTAATATTTTATAGCAACCATAGGAATCAAATACATATCCCATATTACTGGCTTTAGGACTTATTTGCTTTATACTTTCTCCTTGTATTTTTCCTATGCCTTGTAATTGTTGATTACTTCCTGAATGCGGCTGTAGAGTGTGTAAATAACATATTCATAAAAGCATTGTTTCAGATAAAGTCTAAAGAAGAGGTATTTTATTTTGAAAGAATATCTAATCCTATGGCTCTCCCATAACCCAGCCTTTCCAATGGCTACAAAAGGGAAAATTATGGGACAAATGTTGCCAAGTGTATGATAAAGGAAATCTTTCCCACATGAATTATCAATAAACTTGTAGAAAAATGTCCGGCATAACAAGAGTCAAACCAATTAATCATAACCCACCTTTCTGACTAGGAATGCAGTGGGTTTCCCCCACTCCCACCACTTTTTATTTGGAAATTTGTTGAAACCTACAAGAGAATTATGAGAATAGTATAAAGGCACTTCCCTTCACCAAATGCTATCTAACATGCCACCATATTTGTGAACAATAGATAACTTGAAACTAAGTTATGGGAATCATGACATCTTCTTACCCCTCACATCCCTCATCTCCTAAGAGTAAGAACTTTTTCCTGTTCTGCATAACTTCAATGTGGTTTGAGAAAAGTAACACTAATTTTATAGCATCACCTAACATCCAGTCCAGGGCAAATTACAATTTCCCCAGTTGTTCCTAAACATTGTTAATAGCTGTTTGTTTTCTGACCCAGCATCCAATCAGGATTTACACATTGCACTTGGTAATGTCTCTTTAGCCTCTTTGAATCTGGAACAGACCCCTTACAATTTTGTTTTCATGATACTGACTTCTTTGTGTTTTCCTGACCCTCCTGCACTAGAATGTAAATTTTACAGGGGCAGGGATCTTTGTCTCTTTGTTCATTCCTATGTCCTTAGCATTGAGAATGGTGCCTAGCACTTTGTAAATATTTGTTTAATAACTAGATGAGTGAATAAGTAATCCAAGTACAAGGAGTGTCATGAAAGGTGATTTAGAGGATGCCAAGGGGGCTGAGACTCTAATCTGCGGTGTTTGTGTGTAACTCTTACCTCTGTGTTACACATATGCGTGTTCTAGGCTTGAGCAAAGGGCTCATTTTACAAATCAAGGTAGAGATATAGGTGTAATAAATATAAGAATTGAGCTTCACAAAATACTCTTTTTCTGCAGGGCTGTTAAAAAGAAAAAAAGATAAAAAATACTCAAGTTGGCCGGGCACGGTGGCTCAAGCCTGTAATCCCAGCACTTTGGGAGGCCGAGGCGGGTGGATCACGAGGTCAAGAGATCGAGACCATCCTGGTCAACATGGTGAAACCCCGTCTCTACTAAAA